ACAATAATGACTGACCAAAAAAAAAAAAAAAGAAGAAGTGGAAGTGGAGAATTCCTTGAACATTCAAAATGAAATGATTTCTGACTTAGAGTTCTTCCCAAGGAAAACTGTTAATCATATACTGGTAAATATGCTCCACCAAAGTGAGGACGTGAGGGAGTCATCATCAGGGATGAACAGATAAAATCCAAGAAAAGAGACAAATGAGTATTAGGCAGAAAGAAAACTAAAACTAGGCAAGTGAAAACAGGGAATTGCTAATGAAATAAAACAAATATGCAAAGAAATGTAATCAAAGATTCTTGCTCAGCTGAAAATAATATTTTTATGGTGTTAATTATATAAACCCTGACTACAGACTTGAAAGATAATATTCTATATTGAGAGGGTATTAAAATAGGATATGTTATATTTGGGGGCGAGGGTGACAGACAAGGATTCCTGTTAAGCCCATTACTGTAATACAAGCACCTGGAGGAAAGGAGTTTTTGTTTTGTTTACTGTGAATTCCTAGCACCTAGAACAATGCCTGGCACATAGTAGGTTCTTCAATAAATTTATGTTGAATGAATGAAACTTTCTCCTATGGAATATTTCTTCTTAGGAAATCTGCTAAGAAAATAGTAAGTTAAAATAAATAAAAATACACTTCAAAAGCTATAGCATATGGAGCTTCTTTCTAAAATTTAAGACTACCATTTTCAAAACCTAAAAGTAATGATGTGAAATATTTAAGCTGCACATCAAAATATTTAAAAGGTGACTCAAAAGCTGAAGATATTCCTAGGAAACTATTCTCAGTAAATCCTCATGCTAGTTAGGTTGATTGGAGATGCCTTGAAACTCAAAATAGTTCCAGGGAAATCAAGATGCAATTTTCTCAATTTCAAAAGCAAATTATCTTATTGGCTTTTCTTCCCATTCATGCACTAATGTAATACAAGGATGGGCTGAGGAAAATCGCCTTGTTTTGCTTTTCAAGCTGGTGGACTCCTTGAAGAGAAGACTTCAGTACTTCCTTTCACATCAGATCCCTAAAAGTGTTCATCAGGACACTAATTTCTTTTATTAAATAAAAAGAGGTACACATTCAGAACAACTATGTACTCTTTTATTTGACAGATCTAAATTGGGTCTACAGCTCAATTCAACTTGGCTGTGAATTTACTGTCTGATTCTTAGGCTAATGGAACTGTTGATTAATTCATCATTTGTTTCTTTCTGCCTTCACTGAGCATTTGCTGAGCACCTACTGTGTGCCGTGCATTGTTCAAAGACACTAGTGGAGGAAGAAGACTAGATCCAATTACTCTGGATGCTCTGAGCTAAAATAGCTGATCCTATTAATGCACTCAAGAAGAGAACCAACTCGCAGAACCAGGTATACTTAACAGGGATGAGTCCTGGAGGCCTTTATAGAAACCACAGCCTACACCACCCCAGCAGTAGTTATGTGCATATTGTGGGTTACCTAGAACGTCTGTTGAGCACTGGGCTCAGCCCAAGATTGTGCCCTGCTTGGTGCCAGTATGGCTGTCTGTTCCAATACATACATACATACATACATACATACATACATACATAAAAATCCTAGTGTCACAGACCTAGTCTTTGGAGATCCTGTTGGCTTTAAATTAAAAATTGGGGGCTTTGCAAGAGGCTAAATACAAATCAAGACTCCTCTTGTGCTCCCCACCTGCTTCCTGGATCCCGCAAGTCATTGATGATTCCCGCGGGGCAGGAGAGACAGGGGCTCAAGGATGTAGGGTGTTCCGGACCATCCCTGTGCCCTCACCCGGCCACACTGACCCTATGTGGAGCTTGGTGCTGCCGCGAGCTCTGCCAGAACTCAGAGAAGGTGGTTGTCCAGGAAAAGGTGGTGCCGGTGGGCAGAAATATCCACAGATATTTCCTTAGTATTTAGGTGGCTTTGGTAGGAAGGTTCCAAAGTAAAGTCTGCCTTAGTGACCCTTGTTCCATCTGAAAGCGAACCCAGCAATCAGGGTGCTGAGAATCCCTCCTTTTGTATAGACCCCCTTAGAGAGCCTCGGAGCCTCGTGTGGAATTACAAAGGTCTTGGGAGCCTTTCTGCCCCACTTTTAGTTCGCCACTGCTGGAGCCACGGTCTAGGTCCTGCACTGCCTTCCCAGGGGACAAGGCAACAATGACGTGACCCGCCTGATTGCTCTCTGCGCACCCGGACGGCAGTCCCAACGGGACTTACCTGAGGTGAGGGTTGGAACTTTTCTGGGTGTCACCTGGAGTTTTGATTGCTCCAGTACTAGATCAACCCGTCAGAGACAGATGACCAAGAGGACTGGAGGCACTTCCCAAAGCTCCTTTCTGACTCACTGAAACAGTGAGCACTAGCGAGAGAATCCAGTAAGCCCCTGGCTTCATTTCCTGCCCTACTCCCCTGGGTAGGGTTCCCTAAATCCTTGCGGGGGTACAGGGGCGCCGGCGGGCACATTTGGGGGCAACTGCGCAGCTACCAAACTGTGCAGGGCAATCCTGAAGAGTGGACGAAACTCCTTATTTATTTATTTATATCCTCACCGTCTCTACCCCACCCCGCTGCAAGCTCCTCTGGCCAGACATGGGATCTTCTGTCCCTCTGGGAGCGGGGGCCGGGGTGGGAGTGGACAGCATCCACTCAGAACCCGCTTTCCGTAAGAAAAAAGGGAGATGCTGAGATCGTGTGTGCGGATGTGCTTATCGGTGTGCATGTTTGGGGGACAATGTGTACCCCTCTGTGTGTAAAACGCACCTACTTCCTAAAGCAGAAACACTCGAGGTTGCTTTCGTGTCTGGGCGGGGGGGGGGGGGGGAGCAGTTATTTTGGGTTAGTGCCCGCGCGCCCTTTTGCGGGTGGCTGATGGCAGCGAGCATTTTCCCGGGAGGGCTCTGTCCGAGGCGGTGAGTGTGAATGCGAAATGCAGAGCATGTGTGGGGTTCAGGTAAGTGCCTAGGTGATGCGCACCTACTGGTGCGCAAGGAACAGATGTCAAAGTCTATAGGAAGGCCGCCTCCTGCGGCTCTCTTCCTCTCCAAGTTTGGGCTCTGGAATCCATCCAGATCGCTCAGCTCCCAGGGCCTTCAGGGAAGTGCGGTGGGGATGAAGAGCAAGAGAGATGGACACAGGCAGTCCCAGCCCTGCATTTTGGCAAACACAAGACAGAGGGGCAGGGCAGCTGTGCAGCAGTTAAGGGTTCGGGTTGGGGCTGAGGATGTCAAACCCACAGTCTAGGATTTGGAGGTACCTGATGGGTAAGGGGATGCAAAACCTTCTGTGCATGCAGGGCCAAGTTAGCGCTCTCCCCAATCCCCTCTTCTGTTCCTACCGTTTCAGTTTCAGAGGAGTGGGGCGGAGGAGGCTTGGCTGCCAGATTGAAAGCAAAACAGCCATTTTTGAGGACTCTGGCACTTGGGCACACATGTGGGAGGGAATACCCCAGGAGCACAGAGATTCAAAGAGAATGTTTCAAGGGCCCTCACTCCTCCTCCTTCACTACTCCTCCGATGCTATTTCTGCTGAAGTCCTTTTAGAACCCAAGATTAAGGTTCAACCTCCCTGGGGGTCCAGGCAGGAGTAGGAGATGCTGGAGTTCATGCATCAAGGAAGTGGGAGAAACTCTGGACCCTCCAAATTCCCCCAATGTGCCTCCAGTTTCTAGACGTATCCGCCTTCTCTTGGGCACTCCTTCTCCCAACAATGACCTCAATGCAAGCAAAGGCGGGAGCGGATGCCCCCCACCTCCAGAAACAGGGTAGAGAGGTGGATGTGTGACGCACTAGGAGGAGCTCGGTTAGTCCTGTGATTGGTTGTTCTTGGCCACTTAGGATTGGCGGAGCAGGCGGGGACCCCCTCCTTCCGGATATCGCTGGAATAAATGCCTTGGGGCTCTGGCGAGAAGGCACCCACAGCAGGTGTTGTGTTCTCGTGGATCCGTCGCTCTTCAGTGCTGAAACTCGAGTTACCAGGTGAGAAACTTCTCATTCTGCTTACTCTGATATTCTGCCTCTCTCCATTAATTCCTCTACTTTGCTCCATCTGCCTGCCTGCTTCTCTTTCGTTTCTCCGCCATTTCCGCTTATCCGCAGCCCGGTGATACTACTCTCTTCTGACTGGGGTGAAGCCGTGCTGTTTAGGGCTGTCCAGGCATTTTCTCTTAACTAAAGCGAGTGGAACCCCCGGCACCCAGAGAGCTCTGCATGGGCGCTGGGAGCTGGGCAAGTTTAGGTAGGGGTGTGTGTGACTTCTGCGTTTGGAGCGCGTAGGCGGGCAGGGTTCTGTAGGAGTTGTTTCAAGTCTGTGTCCTTAGTGATCACGTTTGGTACCCGGGAAAGTGGAGCCCTAAAATTTTTCCTTTGAGGCGTCTCCAGCCCACGAGCGTTCCAGGGACGTGACACCAGATCTGGGGCAGTGCTTTCAGCGGACCCGTATGGTGGGCTCAACTCAAGGGGTGGGCACCTAGCGCCTGCTGCAGAACTGCACTTCTGCAGTCCCGAGGCACCTGTAACTGACGCGCCAAAAAAAAAAAAAGCCCCCAATCCAAATCCTCAGACCGAGTGTCCCTTACCAATTCACCCTTCCAGCCTCTTCCCCCCACGCTTTGGCTGGACCGCCAGCGGAGAAGGTGGTCTTAAAACTTCAGTGAGAAGACAAGCACAGCGAGGGCAAGTGTACAGCAGGGTGTGTCCGCTCATGGTTTCTTAACGTATCAGGGCAAAATGTGTGCATATGGGCTTCTCTGTCCTACCAGGAAACAGAACCCAACGCCTCCCCACCCGGCCCCTCCACTTGCCTCTGCTCTATCAAACCACTTGACTACCACTTTTGAGATTCACAGCAGCCTTCTGGCAAATAAAGGAACAGAGGCACCAGGAGGTGAAGTTACCTGCCTGAGGTCACATGGCAGTTGTGGCAAGAACAGGACTGGAAGCTAGGTTTGTGGTCCTGGTGCAGTCATAACGTCGTTCTCCTTTTACAGAGAGGCGTCATGGTCTTTTGGAAATTCTCACCCTTCCTGGCTGTCAGCATCTTGGTCCTATGCCAGGCAGTCAGCCTCCCAGCAGCACCATTCAGGTGAGACATCCTGAAACCCAGAGCACACTCCTCTCTCACTGCCCCAGGGATCAGACAGCTCTATGCCTTAAGAGTCAGTGTGGTTCCCCATGAATCAGCGTCCTCATTCCCAGTTCACTGGGAGAAAGGGTAGCTATATCCTTAGGGGAAGAAGCAGGTACCAGGAGCCTGGCTGCCTGGGAGGGGGGCAGGCAGGGGCTCAAAGGTTGCACTGGGTTTGTTTCCCCTTCGCAGGTCTGCTGTGGAGAGCATTCCAGACCTGACCGCACTGGGCGAGGAGGAAGCACGCCTCCTGCTGGCTGCACTGGTGAAGGACTATGTGCAAATGAAGGCCAGTGACCTGGAACAGGAGACAGGGGGCTCCAGGTAAGACTCCCCACCTGGCCCTGACATACAGAGGAGGACCTACTCCAGAGAGGTATGAAAAACTCACTTGCCCAGGAGTCCAGCGGGCTGTTATTATTCAGCTGGCTGTGGGACTCAGCTACTCTCAGGCTCCATGGAAAACAGAGATCCTGGTGGAACTGGAGGGACTGTGGTTTGATGCATTAAAAAGATCAATTTCTGAAAGTAATGGGGAATGGGATGAAGAGTGTGGAATCACTGACTATGGAAGTTGGTCTTTCAGAACTGGGAGACATCCCAGAACTGGATATTAGGAATAGTAAGTGTGAAGCCAGAGGATGGAATCTGTATCCCTGGTTTTAGAAACGTCACCTGGGTATGTTATTCTTTCTTCCTGCAAGGAGTCTTCATTTCTCACTTGCAAAGTGAAGGTGAAGGGCATTGGGGGGATGGGGACAGATAGCTCCATGTCTAAGGTAGGTTGGGGACATCTAGAGAGATGTGAATGTTGTCACAAAACCAGGGAGAGCACCCTTCCCTAGATCTACCTGCTTGTGTACCCTGATCTTGGAAAAGAGACCAACCCTGGCCTGACCCCAGCACTGCCATAGCAGAGGCATGTGTTGACCTGCATCCACCCAGAGAATGCTCTGCCAAGCAAGCTTGAAGGTCTGCACAGCATGTGGAATGCCAGAAAAGGTCACCCTTCCTTACCACTGCCCTGGCCCACTGCACCTCTGAGTCCTCCTAATGGAGGATGTGTGAGCTTCCCCCACCCCCATCCACATCTCCTGTCCCCCTCATAGTTCCCCTGTCTGGTCTAACCTTCTGCTGACTGTCCACAGGGGCTGGTCCTGGTGCATGGTTCTGTCTGGCATGTCTTTTTCCTGTGGCTTGGAGCTAAGCAATGCGGTAATCTGAATATCTGCACATTGGGCACATACTGGCAGGATCTGAACAACTTTCATACCTTCTGTGGCATCAATTTTGGGCTTTAAACACCTGGCAAGAAAAGGGATTTGGCCAAAAAAACTTGCAGAGGGACAGCTACCTTCACTTTGGGAGTACCCAGGATGCCAACTGAGCTCCTCCCACTCCTTCCTGATTTCCTTTCTTGTTCCCTTTTATGAACTTGATGCATGTGGATTCCTCTCTGAATGTTCTTCAAGCTGATATTAGTAGCTTTGCTTATGACACAGTATGTTGGGGACCTCGGGATGGAAAGGGAGAGAACAGAAGTCATAGATCAGAGGTAAGAGACAGCAGGTAAAGCTTAAGCCCTCAGAGAATTTTGTAGCATAGCTTTCCAGTTCTTGCTTATGCATGTACTAAAATAAGCACATGCCGCATGCTCCACCATTTGACAAATGAATTTATTTTTCTAAAAGAACCTGAGCTTTAGTGGTCTTTGCTCTGGGCCATGGCCAAGGCTTATGATGTCCAGTGCCTTGGCTTAGATGGAGCCTCAGCTTTAGAGCAGCTGGATATAGGGCTTGGTGGGTGATCTCTGTGATCCAGCTGTAGCAGGAAGAACAGTGTGCTAAGGAGCAGGTAAGAATTTCTGGGACAGGATGCTGCAAACCAGGTCCTCTGAGCTTATTTAAGGTAAGACTTTAGGGAAATTTCATTTTCCTATGGAAAGTGGTTTTGTTGCTGCTGTGGCTGGGGTATGGTCTCTATATATGCCTTGAGTGTTTTGGAGTGGGGCTGAGCCTTGCCATTTATGCCTCTTGAATGATAAATGCAGGATTTCAGTATGTACCCCATAGCTGGGAACTCTTTTTGGTGATTTTTTTGGGCAGAGCTCCTACCAAAGGCTGCCAGGCCATTTCCCCTAACAGCTTTGATAATTGCACTTAGGAGAAATGCTTATTGTTAAGTGGTATATCTAAGGGCTGCAGTTCTCTTTGTGAAGGTCCCATGGGGTGGGCTCCTCCCCCAGCCCTCACTCACAGGCCTTCTCTTCTCTCTCCATCCTGCAAACCAGTGCCACTGCCCAGAAGAGAGCCTGCAACACTGCCACCTGCGCGAGCCAGAGGCTGGCAGGCTTGCTGAGCAGGTCAGGGGGTGTGGTAAAGGACAACTTCGTGCCCACCAATGTGGGTGCCCAAGCCTTTGGCCGGCGCCGTAGAGATCTTCAGGCTTGAGCAGCTAGAGAGCCCAGGAAGAAGGTGAGTGCCCTGGGCTTTGGGAGAAGAGAAGGAGGAGTTTGGAAGTTGGGGTTCGCATTTTGAAACCTGCTCATCCTGCTAGGTTCTTCAGGTCCTTTCTCTCCAGTTCCATCCTTCCTTCTGACATAGTAAATTCCTTCTAGAACTGAGCATGAATTCAGAATGCTGAGACAGGCTTCTGAGATGCAATGTTATTTTTCTGAGAAAAGAAATGAAGAAAATTCTGGATTCAGAAAGGGGGGGGGCTTCAAACCTTAACCAGGACCAGTCCTCACCAAGGAGCGCGGGTTCAAACAGGGCTCATCCCTTGGTCAGTGTTCACAGATTCAGACCAGGGAGCTCTAGTCACACTGCCATCAGTATTAATAGTGATTATTGAATTATTTTTATCTTCATTTCTCTTACAAGCATGCAAATATCTCATAACCATAATTCATAAATGTTGTTGACTTCTGTAAATTAATGGGTTTCTTTTTCAGTGATCATTGTAGTTATTCACTTCTTGTCTTTCTCCTCTTTTCCTTATCTTTCTCCTCCTATTCACCCCCTCTCCTTTTCCTCCTTCTTTTTCCTTCTCCTCTTCTTTCTCTTGTGTTTTTCTATTTTTTTTCTTCTGTCATCTCAGGTAACCATGAAGCTGAACTCACCACTTCTATTAATTTCTGTTGACAACAACTGGGTGGGAAGGCCCCATGGAAGATACACACGTTTGCATCTAGAAGCACCATTTGTCACTTGAAAGGAATGAAACTGAATGCAAAATAAGCTAATTCCATATTTGTTGTGCATCATTTTTATATTTAATGCTATGTTCAGTAAATGTGATGGCATTTCCCATTGGCTTATCTAATAGCAAATTGGTTCTTTGAGGACCATCCTGTTGATCATGGTAGCTCTGCCAAACTGTAGGGGACACGAAATCACTGCCTCTTGTAGCCTCTGGGAACACAGATGGTAAGGTGATGTTGTGCCTTGTTGTCTAAGAACACGATTGTGCAGTTTGTTTAAGGAAATGTCAAAATTGTGTCATTTGTGAACTTCATCAAGATTAAAAACATATTTTCGATACATTTGTTTCAAGACCCTGGTGGTTCATTTCAATTATTTTTCCTATGTAATAATAGTAAGGGAAATAATACTATTTTTGAGAGCTTTCTATGGACCAGATGATGTTCTAAGACAGTGCTTTATACCTGTGAATTCACTTACTCTTCACAACAGAGCCATAGGGTAGATACTGTCACTCCATTTCACTTCTGAGGAAATCCCAGGAATGGAGAAGTGAAGTCCAAGATCACGCTGATACACAGTGGCAGACCCCAGTGTTGGTTTCTAGAGCTGACAGCTGAAAACACCATGATATATGCTTTTCAATATTGGTTCTAATGTTTCCCAGAGACCTGTGAGTCATTCTTTGGCCTATATGCCTGACATGGTAGACCTTCAGATTTTAGAGACACCTGCTGTTATGATTTGGATCTTAATGTCCTCCAAAAGATCAAATATTGATGGCTTGGTCCTTAATGCTGTAGTGTTCAGAGATAGGGCCTTTTAGAGGTAATCAGGTCATAAAAGCTCGGACCTCCTCAATAGTTTAAACCATTGATGGATTTATACAATAGTGTGTGTGTGTGTGTGTGTGTGTGTGTGTCTTTGTCATAAAAACATGCTCTCTCCTTGCTTCCTGGCTGTCACTGGGTGCACTCCCCACCAGGATGTTTTGCCTCATCCCAGACCCAGAATCAATAGAGCCAAGTGATAATGGATTGAAACCAAGAGCCAAAATAAATCTTTTCTCCTTTTAAGCCATTTATCTCATGTATTTTGTCACAGCAATGGAAAGCTGACTGAATCATATGGAAAATTTTAAACATAACAACAATTTAATTTATATAAAGATGAATTTTTGTATCCACTATTTGACTGCAAGAATGATTAGTGATCAATGTTCTTACATTTCTCCTACCCCCTAGTATGTTGCCATATCAATACATCCATACATATTTCATCCTGTATTTCTAAATGGGAAGGACTCTTTAAAAATATCCAGAATCCCATTTAAATCCTATTTGCAACTAAGATTAACAATAATTTCTTAATTATTTAATGTCACATATCCCCTCATGGCTCCAATTCCCCAACTATTATATACACCCACATATGTGTGCACGTGTGTGTGTGTGTGTGTGTGTGTGTAAATCTGGTCTTATATTGAGACTTAAATTTGTCTAAAGGCTCATCTAATCTAGAAATCCCCCCCCTCTTTATTTTATCCTCCTTGCAGTTGATTTGTTGGAGAGACTAGGTTAAACATCTAGTGGTTTCTCAACATTCTGAATTTTGATGACAGCATTCCTGAGGTGAGGTTTAACATGGGTTTTTCTGTGAATTTAGCAGTCAGGTCTATGGTGAATGAAGGAGAAGAGAACAGGAGATGAGGTCTGAGAGGAAATGGAGAGGACAAATCTTGTAGAATTTTGTAAGGCACAGGAAAGACTTTGGCTTTTATATCTAGCATATATTAGGGTCTTTTAAAAAAATTCAATTGAGCTTTAATGTCTTTTAGTTGGCGTGTTGGACCATTTACGTTTAATGTAATTACTGATTTATTTGGATTTAAGTTTACCCTTTTGTTATCTGTTTTGTTTGTGCCCACTACTTTTTTTGTTCTTCTCTCTTTCCTGCTTCTTTTTGTTTGATTATGTAAATTTTCAAATCAAAATTTAGGGAGTATTCCACTAAGTTATCTGATGGCCTTGGGCTTTATCACTTTATTCTTATTCTTTAATGGTTTCTCAAGGAATTGCAACCTAACTTTTCATAGTCTACTTAGAGCTAACATTTAAATAAAGCATAGAAGCCTTATAGTCTAGAGGACTGTTTATCCTTCTCTGTTCAGTGGTATATGTTTCATGTGTATTACATCTAGAAACATTGACAGCCCCAATAGACAAAGTTGCAAATTTTCTTTTCAGTAGTCATCATATTTTAAAGGAAATTAGTGTACTATATTCACTAAAATAATTGCCATTTTGGTTCCTGTTCTTCCTAGCAACAAGATTTTTTAGTTGTTCTTCATTTAATAAATCTTTTATTTTTGCCTTTATTCTTTTGAAATTGACATATACTTTCCACATAATAAAAATCCACTCTTTTAAAGTATACAACTTAGTTATTTTTAGCATATTTTCATGGTTGTGCAGCTTTTCACAGCTAACTTTAAACATTTTTATAACCTCCAAAAGCAACTTCAGATTCATTAGCACTCACTATTTCTCCCTCCACAATCCTCTGGCCACGACTACTCTACAATCTAACTCTTCAGATTTGTCTGTTTTGAATATTTCATATAAATGGAATCATGTAGATTTCTGTGTCTGACTTCTTTTACTTAGCACAACATTTTTCAAGGCTCATTTATGTTGAAACATGGATCAGGACTACATTCTTTTTGTGGCTGAATAATATTCCATTTATAGACATACCACATTTTGCTCATCCATTCACCAATTGATGGAACAGTTTTCTTCTATTTTTTGGCTATTATGAATAATGATTTTATGAAATTTATGTGCAAGTTTTTGGGTGGACATGTGTTTTCAATTTTATGTATCTAGGAGTGAAATCACTGGGTAAAGTCATAACTCTTTGTTAACTCTTCTGAGGAACTCCAGAATACTTTACAAAGTGACAACAACCTTTTGCATTTCTACCAGAGGGTATGAGATTCTAATTTCTCTACATTTATCAACACATGCTTGTCTTTTTGATTATAGCCACTCTAAGGGTTATAACATGATGTTTCACTGGGTTTGATTTACATTTACCTAATATCCAATGATGCTGAATGTCCTTTTTTGTGTGCATATTTGGTACTTGTACATTTTTGTAAGAAATGTGTATTCAAATCCTTATCCCTTTTTTATTGTTTTTATTATAGATTTGTAAGTTCTTTATATATTTTGGATGCTAGATCCATTCACTTTTTTAGTAGTGCCCTTTGAAGCACAAAGTTTTAAATTTTGTTGAAGTCCAATTTGTATTTTTGAGGGGAGGAAGTATCTTTGCGTATATTACTTAATCCAAAGTCATAAGAATTTACCAACAATTACTTTTAAGAATTGTATAGTTTTACCTTTTAAATTTAGGTTTCTGATCTTTTTCCAGTTAACTTTTGTCTACAGTGTGAGGCAGAGGTGAAAATTCATTCTTTTTGCAACTGGATATTCATTTGTTCCAGCATAATTTATTGAAAAGGTGATTCATTGCTGCATTGAATTGCCCTAGAAACTTTGTTGGGAATCAATAAAGCATAAATGTTTGAACTTATTTTTGGACTCTCCATTTTATTCCATTGAGGTTTATGTCTGTCCTTTACCAATACTGCCCATTTTAAAATCACTGGAATGTTGTAGTAAGATTTAAAATTGGGAAGCATGAGTCCTCCAACTTTCTTCAAGATCGCCTTGGCTACTCTGAGTCCCATCTGTTTCCATTATAATTTTAAGATCAGCTTATCTATTTCTGTAAAAAAGACAGCCAGAATGTTGAACCTCTAGATCAGTTTAGGGAGTATTATCGTCTTAACAATATTACATCCTTCAATTTGTGAGCACAGGATGTCTTTTTTATTTAATTACTACCATGGTGTGGATGTGGTTTGTCTCCCAAGGGTTCATATATTAGAGGCTTGCTTCCCAGGGTGGTGTATTTGTGGAACCTTTAAGAGGTGAGGGCTAATGTGAGGTCTGTGGGTCATTGATTTCCCTGTCCTTAGAGGAGATAAAGGTATATTCTCATGGCGTCCTGAATTATTCTTACAAGAGCAAATTATTATAAAAGCATGAGCTGAACCCCCAAGTTGCTCTCTGGCTTCCTACATAGAAATGTGATTGTTTGCTCCTATATGTGCTCCTGTCATTGCTGTTTACCATGATGTGAATTAGCTGTTGAACTGAGCATGTTCTATGCCCTTG